ATTTATATTTATAAATAATGACTTGTTTTAATGTGTGATGCGTAGGGATAAATAGAATATCTAAAACAGTGATATAACACTGTTCATTAAGGATGTGTTCAAATTCAGGAAATGCCACTAGCATTTCAAACCAACAGTGCCACTGGAGTAGTAATCAGTGGTATCAGAACTAGAATCTAAATGCTGTGTTAGATAACAAGGCAGTCATAGCACTCATTAATTTGTTAATTTATAAAACTCGAACAGTAAGGACTGTGATTTGCTGTTGGCATCGTCTTGAACATCGTGAGCTGAGGCTTTCCTGGAGGGTTTGAGATTTTGAGGGCAAGTCCAGTCTTGAAAATCTCTCTATTAAAATGTGGTGAGTCTGAGTAGAAGATACTTTGAATATTTAATTAACGAGGAAGTTTCTGGCAACTTGAAATTTCTAAAAGATTCAGTTATTTGTGCTAAGGATTCTTTCTTGGTCTAGATCACTAAACGTCAGCCTTTCAAGAAGACCTGTAGTTGTTAGCAAAATTATTTTCCTGTAAAATTCCATAATAGAGCAGGGTCTAAGATACTCTTTTCTTATAGATTATGTGTTCTTTTCAGATAGAAATTTTCACTCATCCCCATTGTTTGTATTTGATTTTGGGGGGATTTTTGTTTTGTTTTGTTTTGTGATTTAACTTCTCATTTGAATATTTTCTTCCCTAAACATAAGGCTTTGGCAGCTCAAGTACATCTGGGTTTAACTTCAGCAATCCCGGCATCACGGCGTCAGCTGGTTTGACATTTGGGGTGTCTAATCCTGCCTCTGCAGGCTTTGGAACAGGAGGACAACTCCTTCAGTTGAAGAAACCTCCAGCTGGAAACAAAAGAGGAAAAAGATAAACATGCTGGTTGATGTGTTGAGAATTGTTAGCCGGCCGTTCGTGCTGATTCTATTTTTCTAATGATGCAGTAATTGAATTGCATCCCAGGAGATTTATAAAGTTTTGATATTTTTCCCTACTCTAGAATTTGAACTTTGTTTGCCACATGGAACATCTTTTTTTGTGAATTTAAAATCCAGTTGCGGTTCTGTTGTTGCTGTTATTTTTGGTTCTCCATGTAAGAAATGCTGTAATTACATTACTGATTGATAGTGGTAAAAACTGTTAATCTAAAACCTATGATTTAAGCTAGTGTTAATAGCCGTGTTTTTGTTAATAAAGGTTTACGCTATGTGAATATATGCACATTGGTTTCTTAATGAGATATAAACTCTAGGGCCTACACTAGAATTCATTTGTTCCTTGAAAAGGCCTTTAGACTGCAGGGCATCTTGTGAATATGTATGTAATTCAGAATAATGCATACCCTTGTGTGTGCATATAAAATATATATTTACAGACCTACAACTTTTGCCTCAGACTGTTCTCCTTTTCTAATGGTATTCAATTTTTCACCTTTTGAGCTTCAAATCTCAGTGCTTAAGAGAACAATTGGCTCCGGGTACCTTGTCATTCATATGTTTGCAAGACTTAAGTGGTTATTGACATACTAACATTCAACTTCATTGTCCCTGCTTTTCTGTTTTTGTTTACACCTTAACTCTTTGTTGCTACTCCAAAGGAGGAATGCTGTAGGACTCAGTAGACAGATTTTAGAAACCTTTACTACCCTATATATTCTCATACTACTACTATTGCTTTTTTATCCTAAATGAGATGGACTTTGAGGAGTGTGTTTGAACTCCAGACTGGTGTTCTGGGGGCAAAGAGCTATTAAGCCAAATTGAATCTATGCAGGTGAAGTGCACACTGTTAATCCAGTGGAACTCTTCTAGCTGTTCAATCCAGAGTTCCTACTTACAGGGCTATTGACAACCACACCAAATGGAGTGGCTTCTCAGCCTCTCAGTGTCTGAAGTGAGTGCTTAATTTGGACTACAGAAATAATGTATTTTAAGAAAAACAGTTCTTTGTAGCAGTTGTAAACTTTCCCGTCTTACCAGTGAACGTAGCTCCAGGTCGCAGAGCAGAGGCATGTCAGGTTGCATGAGTGTAGTATTTGTGCTGCGGTAGTGGCGTTGAGTGGTTGAACAACAACCATTGCAGAGAGAATTGCCTTATTCATGATTTCACTGAGAAAACATTATCTTTCAAGTACAGTTTTCAAGTGGGATGAAAACATGGAATTTCACTGAAAATAGTTTAATTTTTTACATAGAAGGTTTTGTACATATGTGCATCAGTGGATATTTTCAGAATCATTTCACCAAGGCACCTTTTTTTCTAAAATAGGTATGGAGTATATAAATATGCATATACACATATATATTTTAGTATAATGATAGTTGGGTTTGATTATAAAAATATCAAGTCTGTTTTATTTATCTGCGTATAGCAATGATTGACTTTCTCGAATTCAGTTTTTGCATCTTGATGTATTAAAATAAGGAGAATTATTTGTCTCTGAGCACTAAACTTGTTTGTATTTGTGTATTTCTCTAGTACTACAATCCCTAATTTAGGTCATGGGGGAAGGATAGGAAAAAGGTGTGCTTTTGAATTACTGTCAGAGTTACATATGCCATTGCCACAAACTGGTTTTTCGTTGTTGTTTTTTTTTTAAGGACATTATATTGTGCTGAAAATATCTGAATATTTATATTTCTTGTTTTTCTTTATATGCATCTTCCTATGTTGAACCACTGGAAAGCTGTAATGTTACTTTGTGGTAGAAGTCTTAGTGTTGTCACTGTCTTTGTCTTCACTGTCCAGAGCCTGCTATAGAAACAATAAAATTTCTTGTGTCCGTTGCTTTGAATCTTTGTAGGTGTCAGTAGTTATTTTTATGTAATTTTACTATTGCTCTTTTACTCTCTTTGGTTGTTTCTTAGTGTTTTCTAAGCACTATAGTGATTTAGTCTTGCTTTTTCTTTTTTTTTTTTTTAAACAAAAGACTGAAAACCAGGTAGTAGATTCTGGGCTGGGGAGGTGGCCCAGTAGTTAAAGTGCTTTCTATGGAAGCATGAAGACCAGAGAACACAGCAAATGCCAGGCAGTCATGGAAGCCTGCCTGTGGTAACAGCCTCAGAAGGTGGTTCCCAAAGCAAACTAGTGACACCAGCCATAGCAGCAAGTGGGTTTGAGTGAGAGCTCCTGCCTCAGTGAATAAGGTGGAAGAGTGTTTGAGACAGTACAACATCAACCTCATGCTTCCATGGGCATGTACATTCACACATGTGCACCCACATATGCAAAAACATATACACGTGTACAAAAGAAAAAAGGGGGAAAAAAAAAACCCAAACAAGTTCTTTGTTACTTGTTTTGTCTTCTAAAAATTACATTGTGTTTTAATTAGGTAGAAAAAGCAGAGACTCTGCCAGCTCCTAGGCCCAGCCCCATTCCACCCGAGCATGCACTAATTGTTCTGGGTATATCTGCAGACTGATCTAAAAAAAATGCCCCCTTCAACATGTATGTGTTCATTCTGCCATTTTTGTATTTCCTCATCTCATATAGTCTTACTTTCTCTTGGCTCCTTTTTCTTTAAATAAGCATATTAACAGCAATTAAAAACCCTTAAGCATTCTGTGACTTTGGTTTTTCCCATTTCATGGTGTGTCCACTCTTTCCTTGTTGGCACATAGAAATTGGCATTTACATATTGCCCATGGTGGGTATCAGTGATCTGTGCAGCTGTTCCCTGTGGGGAGACAGGTTCTCTGCACTACAGCTTTATAGAGGTTGCAGTGAGTACCCATGTATGTGGCTTTTGTGCATGTTTAATGCTTCTTTGGGATTGATTCTGGAAAGGAATCACTAAAAGATGTATAAATTGTATGTTTTAATGTAAATTGTCTTCCCCTGAAATACTCATTTCCTAACTTTCTTTGTTATTCTGGTTATCACTTGTAATCATCAGAACTTGTTGAGGTTGTACTTTTAAATACAAACATGCGTGCGCACACGTGTGCACACAGCTGTTTTCATATTCATGTGATTGCATGTTGCCACCTTTGTTTTTCTTACATCAGGATTCTTAGGAGTTTTTTTCTTGAAGGTTTATAAAATCTCTATTAGTAGAAGCTCAGACTTTTGCTGTGGGATGTCTGGAGTCAACTGGATTCAGAACCTTGCAGTAACCTGTGTGATCCTAGCAAGTTTTCTCACTTTTGGAACTCAGCTTCTCCATCTGGAAGTGAACTTCATATGCATGGTTGGTTGTGTTAAGAACACAGTCTACTGAAAAAAAAAAACAAACCCAAAACTTTAATTGTCAAAGAATAAATTTAACTTTTCTAAAAAAAGTCTACTAAACAAAACAACAGAGTCCTGTTTTTTATTAGTGTGGTGTGGGTGTCTGTCTTAGGATTATTTATTGTTGGCAGTTTCATTTTGTAATGAATTTTAGTAGTTTTCACTCTGTTCCCCTTTCCTGTCCACGTCCTCTCCCACTGAAACCCTTCTCATCCATTCTCCCTCCTCATTTCATGTCTCCATTTTCTCTTTATGTATAGAAGTGCTTTGTCTGCATATATGTAAGCGCACCTATGTCATGGAATGCCTGGGAGGCCAGAAGAGGGAGTCTGTTTCCCTGGAGCTGTAATTATGGTTATTAGCCACCATGTGGAAGCTGGGAACCAAACCCCAGTCCTCTGCAAGAGCAGCCAGTGCTCTTAACCAGTAAGCCCTCTCTCCAGCCTTTTTCTGTTTTGAAATAATCATTTTTAATCCTATTTTTACCCACACTGGTAGAAATGCAAATAGCTCTTTCTTAGGGTTGAAATTTAGCTTTCTCGATCTACATCTGTTATGTTTTTCTTTCAGTTTCTAAGAAGTTCTAATCAGTTCCTTAAGTATGCCTGGCCATGTTTGGCAATCTTTTATTTCTCACACTTTTCTCTCTCTAAAAATACTCAACATATTTATATTTGTTGATAATTTCATTATTTAAAGTGATCAAGGGAGCCAGGCATAGTGGTGTACGCCACATGTGTATCTCTGAATTTGAGGTCAGCCTGGTCTACATAATGAGTTCCAGGCCAGCCAGTGCTGGGTCGTGAGACCTTATTTCAAAAATAAAATGATAGGAGCTGGAGACATGGTTCAGCAGTTAAGAGCACTGACTTCTCTTCCATGGCTAACCACCCCTAACTCCAGTTCTAAGGAATCTAATGCTCTCTTCTGGCCTCTGGGGGCATTCTGTGCACTAACATACATGCAGGCAAAATATTCATATACATAAAATAATAAGTCCAAATATAATAAAGTGAGGGGTTAGACCTAGTGGTGCATGCCTATAATCCTAGCATTCAGAAGGCAGAGGCAGGGCACTACCTTAAGTTTGAGGTCAGCCTGCTCTGTATAGCAAGTTCTATACCAACCAGGACTACATAGCAAGACCTTATTTCAAGAAGCCAAAATAAAACAAGTAATTGATGGTCTGATTTTTGTTGCTGACCATTTGTTCAAGGTGACTAGTCTTCCCCCTTTTGTATTAGTATGTGAACTCATCTTTGATGGGAATTTATCCTTGGGAATTCTTGAGACTGAAGATAAGCTCCTTCAGAAAAAAATGTGCATTTGTTTCTATGAGGTGCCTGAATGCACGTAGCAATCCAGGAACACGTTAAAATCAAATCCCACTCAGGGTTTTTCGGGGACATAAATAGTGCATTCCACAGTTTGTACTTTAAATAATTTTTTTTCTTTCCCTTTTTGAAATGGTCTCCCTATGTGACTCTACCTAACCTAAAACTTTGTAGCCCAGGTTGGCCTCAAATTTGCAGCAGTCCTGGCTCTGCATCCAGAATGCTGGGATTACAGGTGTGTGCCACCTGGTCTACAGTTCTGAGAATCACCTAAAAGCAATGAATTCTCACAATGTATTTAGCTTTCCTTTCAGAAAGTCAGGGCCACAGAGGCACATTTTCTTTGTGACAGTTTGAAGGGCAGAGAGGTTAATGATATTGACAAAGGCTTGACAGTGTGGGCCAAATCATTTCTCTGCTCGTTTTTGCAAACAAAGCTTTCTTGGAGCACAGCCATATCTGTTTGCAAGCTGATGCTTCTGCAATGCAGTGGTAGAGTTCATTTGGGAAAGTAAAGACAACCTTCTGGACCATTACACAGAAAAGTTTGCTGATCTTAGCTTGCATGGCCTAAATAGGATACAAAGCAACTTTGTTAGGTTCAAATGTGTGGCTGGAGGGATGGCTCCTCTAGCAAAGGGCCAGCACCTACGTGGCAGTTAACAACTATCCATAACTCCAGTTCCAGGGGATCTGACACCCTCTTCTGGCCTCCGGGAGTATTGTATGACATGGGTGCACATTCAGACAAAAGTCATATACATAAAAACATTTTAAGAAAATCAAGAAAAAGAAACATAGTGGATAAAGCAGGATGGACTATTTTCCTGTCATCTGAGCAGTCAAGAGTGGCTGTTCAGAAGTCCAGTGTTCTCACAGTGCTGACCTGCCAGGCTTCTCATGGCAATTTCCTCTGAGCAGTGGAGTAAATTCCCTTTCCAGCTCATGGAAGAAAGACATAGAAAGTTTCCTTTTTGTGTAAGTTTGTGATCCTAAAGTTACTTACTGATGTCCCTTCTGCATGCCATGTTGGCTAGAACTGGGTCACACAGTTGCAAGTGGGACTGATATCATGTCCTTTGATAGGTGTCATGGACTCAGTCAAAATCCTGCCAGGAAAGGGAAGACCTTCCTGAGGGGTCATGAGTACAGCCACAGGTGCCTGAGCTCTGCGCTGTGATCTTTGATAGCCACCAGTCTTGGTGTGCTGCCTCATGGGCTCCACTTTTTGCTCCATCAGTTTACCTCCTTGGTAACTTTGTTAGGAGCTTAAAGCGTGTTTTTTGTTTGCTTTAAATTGTGTTCATTGGGGCTGGGGAAATGACTCAGTATGTAAAATGCTTTTGCAAGCTTGAGGACCCAAGTATGGATCCCCAGCACCCATGTAAAAGCCAGGCATAGTGGCATGTACACTTGTAGGCCCAGCCCGGTGTGGAAAGGGGGTTGTGAGGACAGATGAATCCCTGCTGACCAACCAGTATAGACAAAACATGGAGACCCTGCCTAGAAAAATGAAAGTGGAAGTGCTGGAGAGGTGGCTGAGTGGTTGAGAGCACTTGCTACTCTTTCAGAGGATTCATGTTTGGTTCCCAGGCACACACACACATGAAACAAATGAATCCGTTAAAAAATTAAGGTGGAGAACTGATTGAGGAAGATGCCTGATAGGCTTTGGCCTCCACATGCTCCCATATGTGCCAGTATACGTTAAGAATACACACACAATTGTGCCCACCATTTTCAGATGTTTATAGGAGCACTAGGAGATCAAATGCAAATACAGATTTCAACAGAGGCCTTTTTTCATGACTAAAAGTTCTGTGATAGGACTATTTTTTTTTTCATTTTAAAGTTACCTCTTTCAAATCAGTTTAAAAATCTGTTAAACTGAATTTTCATAAGGAACAGCACTCCTTTAAACAATGTAGTCTCCCAAAATAATAATTTCTTCTGGACTCTAGAATTCTGTTTTTATGTACTGTTTTACTTGATGCTAGTCTACTATTTTGTTCAAACTGCCTCCCACAGCACCCAGCTCAGGACTGAGTCCTGGGTCTTACACTCACTTAGCAAACACTCTACCACTGAGCTAAATCTTCAGTCTCTGATGTTTATCTAGAATTTGTAATTCTCTACTTTAAAAACCCCTGCTCCCTGAAAGCAATGCATATATTTAGTGAACTTGTCACCAGCTAACCAGGAACTGCTTAGATTATTCT